TTGATGGTTATTAAAAAAGTTTCATTAATGTATGTTCTTTGAAATGTAGTTGGATAGATGTTCCGCATATCCAGATAATGGGCATCCGACGATCGTTTCCATGTCGGGGTCAACAGGATTTATCGTTAGAAGCAAATTTTAACATTTCTATAGGATATTATCTGTTCGCGGATTTGCCAAATGTGCAGTGGCGAAACATCGAAAAAAGTGAAGACAATTTGTTACAGACACACTTCGGTACCACACCTGTAATATGGACTAATCACACAACAGTGATTTTGTCTAATTACTTATTCAGTCTTGATAGAAAAACTCGAATCATTAAAATGCGGTACAGAATTGATACTAGATTTGACATGGAATTTGCAAAAAATGTAGCTGAAAATATCACGTTGTTTTTTGAAAATGAATGGAAACATTCGAACCATATTTCGATGATGGATCATCTTGCAATTCCAAATTTTCATGACAAAGTTTTCCGACTTGTTTTTTATAGGTAAGTACAAATGCTTAATATTACATTAAAAATAAAATTATATTAGTATGTAAAATTATAAAATTTAAATATAGGTATATCTTTTGTTTTGGTAAATGTTAAAAATAAGGAATAGCGAAAATAAACAATTTTAATAGAATTAAGTTTATTCATATTATTAAAAATTAAAGTTTACTCTTTTAATACGTACATAAAGAGGAAAGTATGTATGCTAAATCATACCCCACAAGATAGATGTTAAAACTGCAATCAAGTTATAAAAGAAATGACATTTTTTTATTTATTTCAAACTATTGTTCTTTGTGTGAACAATATACTCATTAACAGAAATTTATCGTTGTTTCATTTTGTAAATTAAACATAAAAAAAAAATTATTTTATACGATTTACAATAATGATTTGTTAAATTATATCCATGAGTTTGTAAATCATACATCTAACAATAAAATGTTAATATCTTAACAAAATTATAGTTTTATTTTTTATAAAAGTTCTCAGTCTTAACATTTAAATATAATTTTCAGGGAAACAGATATCATCTACGATAAAAATTTATATCCTGTTGCTCACAAAATCCAAGTAGCTCAATTAGTAGGACATGAAGTGGCACAGCAATGGTTTTATAATCTGAACAAACCGTTTCCGTCAATTTTTTGGTTTAATAAAGGTTTAACTACGTTGCTTGCAACGTATGCTGTCAATAAGGTTATTCTATTTTCAACGCTATCTCGCTCCCATTTTCTCGCAAACGATAACAAGCTTTAATTTATATTGCAAGATTTTTGTATATCAAACTCTTTTTAGAAAATGTACATAAACTCTTTGTAAATTGTCTTAGAAACATTTAACATTATATAAAATATTAAACTGTTATTTAAAAAGTACTTTTTCACATACATATAATTATAATGTAAAGAATTAGAAATGTTTTTATTTTTTAATACCACTTAGATATTCTTAAACTTTTATGAAATCTAAAATAAAATAAATTAATCAAAACAAAAACTAGTACACACAATATTTATGTAAATTTATATGATAAGGAGAACTCTGCAATATAATATCATGAGATAATAATTTTAAACCCATATAATATTTGCTAATTATATATGTACGAAATTTTAAACTTGTTATTATATTTATTCGTATATCAAGGTATTTTTGATTTATTAATTTACTAGCAACAATAAAATTATTAACTATTATTTATGCGTTTTTAAAATAAGAAAGTGTGTCTTTTTAACATAGAAGTAACGCTAATAATATTAGTATTTGTTTCTTTTGCAAGTAATTTCAGAGCGATTATATTGATATAGTAATTTTTTTTATAGATTTATCCAGATTATCGAATAATAAATTTATTTGTTGTTCAAAATCAACATTATTCTTTTCATTTGGATGGTGCTTATAGTTTGTGGAATTCTACTGTAGAAGATATGAGTATATTCAAAATTCGCCAATTCATCAAGGGTAACGTAATATAATAAAATTGTTCGCGTAAATTTTTAATTATTAATATTATAAAAATATGTGTAAAATTATAACATAATAATTATATATTTGGATTTTAATAATATATTAATTTTATAAAAGTACATACATACACACACACACACATGCGTATATATACGTACATTCGTATTTATGCATATTTTTAAATTAATATTTAAAGTATGTATACATATAAACAATATAGATGCGTGTATGTAATTTGCAACTAGCAGCTACATAGCTTTTCTCAAAAACTATTTTTTTGCAAAAATATTAATTTTTCTCATTATTTTATATACAAAATTATTGAGATTAGATCGAAGAAAAATGAATATTTCTTGAAATATATATTTACACTTATGTAAAATAACGTGTTAAAGGTATAAAATATCCTGTAAAATATTTTCTTTATGATTATCTTATCCTTACAACTTATTGTTTTGATAATGAATATTGCGAGAAATTGATTTATAAAAAAAATTAAGGTAGATCCATTAAAAAGATTAATGGTCTTTAAATACCATGAAAATCGGCCTTTAGGAAAAAGTCAATACCGTTTACTTGTTTTTTCTTACAAATCATACAACTTATATCTAAAATGTTTTTCTCTAAAATACATTGTTCAAAAAATCTTTGTATAGATTTTTCAAAATGGAATAGTTAGTATATGTTTGTTTATATATATGTATATATATATATATATATATATATATATATATATTATATGTATGTATGTATGTATATATACAGGGTCACTTGATTGGCGCCCACTATTTACAAAGCGATATTCCTCGTGGAAAACTGAGTCAGAAAGTTCTGAGCCATTTTTTTCTATAATGCATAACAAAGCCGTAATTACTAATAATGTTAAGCCATAATAACTCTAATCATTATTACTAATAATGGTAAACCGCGCGTGTAGCGGTGTGCGTGAAAACACTATGCAAGGCACTATGCTTATGGCAAGACGCTATTCTTTTGCGCGCGCCTTTGACATGCCTTTTTCTATCGTTAATAATAAAAATTATTATGCATTATAGAAAAAAATGGCTCAGGACTTTTTGACTCAGTTTTCCATGAAGAATATCGCTATGTAAATAATGAGCGCCAATTAAGTGACACCCTGTATATATATATATATATATGTATGTATGTATGTATGTATATATTTTAGTTTCTTTTTTAGGTTCCGCCGCGCTCTCCTAACTGGTTTTTATATTCTGTTCAATTAATAGTATTGGTAGACTTTGTCAATCTATATACAACAAAAAGTCAAATATAATCTATAAATACATATTATTAACTTATTAACATTTTCATTAAATGTGTCATCATTAAACTAGCTTTTCAAAAATTTATATTAGTATTATAATTTTTCTAGCCTTTTCATTTTTTTGTATGTATATATATATATATATATATATATATATATACAAATTTGTATGTATGTGTATACATATACAGAAACTATTTCATTTTAAAATATCCATACTAAGATTTTTTGAACAATTTATTTTAGGGGAAAACGTTTTACCATAGATTAAAGTTGTGTAATTTCTACAGACAAACAAGTAAACGCTACTGACTTTTTCCTAAAGACTGATTGTCAAGATCATTTGAAGATCATTTATATTTTTTTTAAATGGATCTACCTTAATTTATATCTCTTTTTCATTACATCTTTATTTTTGTATAAATCGATTTCTCACTATATTCATTACCAAAACAAAAAAAAAAAATATATATATATATATGGTATATATATATAATATACACGACCACAGTGTCCGGTAATAGCCGCGTATATGTAGGTAAAAGGAATTAATTGAATGGTCCTATAAAGTTTTGCTATCTTCCTAAGTATTACCGAGAAATTTATTTATAAAATAGGATGATAAACGGTGCGGCAATAAAAACATTTCACTCTTATACAATTACTACCCTGTATACATATATATCATTTTTCATTTAAAAATCAATATGTTTACAAGTAACTAATACAATAGTAATTGTATATTTATGATATATCTCTATTTATAATTTTGATGTAAATCGTAGCACCCTTTATACTGCGCATGATGCAACACGCTTTCACTGAAGATATATTTTGGAAACACATTCGCTCATATATAAATAAAACGTGAGTAATTCAATATAAAATATAATATCAAAAGAATAAAATTGCATATCATAAATATTTAATAATAGAAGTTTTATAAAATGTCCCTCATTTTTTGGCTTCTTCTGACATTTTTTCCTTATGTTTTTTTAGTCTAACAATTGCGTTAATTTTCAAAGCTGCTTCTAGATTTATTTTTAATTTCATTACTTTTCTTATGAAAATCGTTTCTGTAGAAAGAAATTGATGTTTTATTATTGTCACTTTTTCATATACATATACATTGTTGTTTTATTTTGTTTCATGATTTATTATTTTTTAAATAATTTTTTAAATCATTTTTATTTTTTTATTTTTCCTTTATTTCTTTATATCGTCTATAATTCTTATAATTTTTATTCTTTTAATTGCATTTTGTGCTACATTTGTTTTTTAATCTTATTTAATTTCTTATTTAAGTTTTTAAATATTTAACACTTATATCTCTTTTTTATCACTTCTCTATTTTTATTTTCGTCTTTCGTAAATCGATCTCCTTTATATAATTTTTCTTAATATTACATACTTGATTTTGATCTCCTTTATATATTTTTCTAAATATTATTATACATACTTAATTTTTGTTTTGTCTTCAACTTTTTATTCGTTTTACTTCTTCTTCTAATCATTTTATAACTCTCTCAATACTTTGCTCAAATATAATCTATATTAATGCTAATAATAGAGAGAAAGAGAGAGAGAGAGAGAAGGAAAACTGAAAAATTTAATAAAGTTATAAATTGTGTTTAAAATTACGTTATATTTTTTTATTATTATGATATAAATATAACATATATAAATATATAAATAGAAGTGCAATTTTATATTTTGCTTGTTAGTGTTTATTAAAATTTTTGTAATATTAACATTATACAGAGAATTTTAACATATTTGTAATAAATTTTTATGTATTTTACATACTGTGTAAATTTAGAACCATTCTGAATTTTTGGAAAGAAATTGTTATTCCTGCAATAGAACCAGATATTTCTCTAGACATAATGACTTATAGACAATGTCCTATCATAAAAATAATACGAAATTATGAGGATGCTATGAGCCAAGCAAATGTATCGATACAAAATATCGACACATTACATATTGACTGTGTTCCTCTAACTTTTACTACACAAACATCTCCCGATTTTAACAATTTTACTCATCATATAGTATGCACGTCAAGGGATTTAAAACTATCATTAGCATCTAAAGAGACTGGTTGGATTATATTCAATATACAACAAATTGGTAAATATCGACCAATGGACTTATTATGACTTATTTCTCATCTTTATTTTACACACACATAATTGACATTATTTTATATTTTTATCTATTTTATTCATTGTCCTATAAAAATCTGAGATATTTATTATATAACTATAATATTAAAATGTTATATAATATTAAAATGCTATAGTTTTAAAATGTTTTGTATAATATTCTGCATTGTTATATATAATTAAGATATACACATCGGCGTTTTCCACTATAATATCAATTAATATTAAAGTTATATTTTTACAAATATTGTATTCTAATATAAACAAAAATTATAAAAAGATAATTATATTTATAAAATTAGTATAATAATAAGTACAAGTAAAACATACAATTTTCGTAAAGTTACATGTTACAGAAATTTTACTGATTAATAAAAAATAAATATTACATAATGAATTCACAACTAGAAATAATTTTATTTTATTCTATACAACAATATCTTGCACAGTTTTATTTTTCATTTTAGTTAATTTTTTATATGTATTTGCATTTTATTTATATGTATTAAATTTTTGATACGTTTTTAATTTATAATTGATGTAAACAAAAGTATGAAACCAAAATGTTTGATAATAAATATACATTATAATGATAAACTTATTCAAAATAATAAATATTTATAAAATTTATTCACTATTTGACAGGATATTATCGCGTGAACTATGATGATGAGAATTGGCGAAGAATTTCACATTATCTAAACCATGATGATTACACGAAAATTCATGTTCTTAATCGTGCCCAAATTATCGATGATGCATTTCATTTAATGATAGCAGAACAACTTAATTCATCTATATTCTGGGATATCATATCGTATCTAAATCGAGAAGAAGATTATATAGCGTGGTATCCTATGTTTAAAGCTCTGGAATACATGTTCAGTACTTCTCTGGTAGTGTTGAAAGAAAAACATGGAAATCTCAAGGTAAATATTAATAGATTTCAATGAAATTGTTATATTTCAGATATTGGTATATATACACTCATTCATTATATAAGTTTAAATACTCAGAAAAATATATACCGCAACGATAAAATTATACATACTATTAATTACATTGCAAATAAGTGTGCATACAAATTCAGTTTGAATTGTGCTCTAAAATGTATGATTTTCACTACCGCCAATATTATTGATATATACCATTGTTATTGGCTATATAGCTGGGTGCCTAAAATTCTTTGTCAATGAATTATAATTATAAACATTTCACACAAATTTAATCATATTTTTGAAAAGAGCTCGAATTGGCCTCAAATTGATTGCCAACAGTTCGTTTGCAAACAAATCGTTTGCGCACAAAACTTTTTGCTTACAAATCTATTACCTACAACCTCTTTTGCGAACAAATAAAAAAATTAAGAAACAAATATATGTATTTGCACACTATTATCTACAAACCGGTTGCCTATACAAGCTCTATTGCGCACAAAAAGAAATTAAAAGACAACATACGTTTGCACACACAAACTATTACACAAGCTACATTGCACACATGATACTATTATGTCAGCGATTGTTTCTTCTTTAAAAATAAAACTTTTTTGTAATATTTACGTAAAACGTACAATTTTTAACATATTTCTAATTGTTTTTTGTATTTATATTGTCATAGGCAAATTGTTATTTTAAAGAAATGACTTTTGAGTAGGTTAATACAATCTGCCTAGTCAAATGGCTTTCGCCTGTTTATGTGTGTCCAAATGTTATTTTTTTAGGCAAACAGCATTTGCCTGAATGTTTTTTAGGAAAATGGAAATAAATTTTGATATTATTTCGAATGGGATACTTCAAGTTTATAGCAGCCCTTTTGGGTACTGAAAATAGATAAAACAATATAATATATATAAGATTTGGGTTGAACCTCGCTTCGCGTGGAATGTTGCAAACCCATATGGAACCTCTTTCTCGAGTGAAAAAGTGTATGCTAAATACTATTTACATGACAGCGGTTCAGTCAAATAGCATTGGGCCAGGAAAATAACATTTTCGGGGACCCGATCTGTAGGTAATAATATCATGTGTGCAGTGCAGCTTGTGCGCAATAATATCGTGTGTGCAAATGTACGTTTGTGCTTAAATTTTATTATTTGTGCGCAAAAGAGATTGTAGGCAATAGATTTGTAGGCAAAAAGTTTTGTGAGCAAACGATTTGTTAGCAAATGATCTGTTGGCATTCAATGCTGTTGGCAATCAATTTGTAGGCAATTGGGATCCCTATTTTTGCATACATATGTATATATATTTGAGTGTATGTACGTGCATAGATAAACGTTCGCGTTAATGTAAGTAAATATTTACGAATGTTTGTTTCAAAGAGAGAAAAAATTTTAAGAATCTGTAGGAAAATAATAAAAAATATAATAATTTTTAAGTACATATATATAATATTGTTGTGTTCGCGTTAAGCCCAAGTGTGAATTCCGGTCGAATGTCCCTGGACTACAAGTTACATCTTTCTATTATATGTTACTCGGATATGGTTGCTATGGAGGTTGTTAAACAACTAGCAGTATATTGTTTTCGGTGCGATATTCATCGCAATCGTCTGACAGCTGTCGTTCGGTTTGGACGTTTACTGTGACGTCTGCGCATTACGATTCTTCCTCGCTATTTTGCCTTTTAATTATCTCTTGTATTCGTGTCCCCATTAAAATTCTTTGTTTCTTTCATAAATACGTGTTTTTATTTTCCGAAGGCAAGTGAGTGCGTGAAATATTGTGTCGCATCCGAGTGATTATCGGAATCGCCCCGCGGACACAGCATTTTAGGGGATGTAATTCGTAGTCCAGGGACATTCGACCGGAAGTCGCACTTGGACTTAACGCGGGCGTAAAAATATTAATTAAACAGAGAATTAAATATTTAACGATTCTTATAAACGATTTTTAAGAATAAGCAGCATCTTACGCAAGATACTTACAGGAATCAAATACGAAGAATTTATCTGCTTTGTTTCAAGAATAGAGAAAATTTTAAGAATCTGTTGGAAATTAATAGAAAAATTATTTTTAATGTATTTATAATATGAAAGTAATATATATTTAACGATTTTTAGTATAGAGTAAGAGACATATTACTCGGGGTACTTGATAGAATCAAATATAAAGAAACTAATGATAGTGATCATTCAATAATATTAATAATATCTTTAATAATATCTTTTAAATATTATAAACAGTTCGCATATTAAACCATATTTTTGCATATATGTATGTATTTTTAAACGTATGTATACGTGCATAAATAAATTCTCGCGTTTATATATATTAATTTGTTTTTAATTTTTTACATAAATTAATAAAATTATATGTTTACGCATACAAACACACACGCACGCACACACACACACAAAACATACATATATATATATTTATAACAAATTAATATTTAAATATTATAAAAATTTACAGTCAACATATATTTATGTCTTATAGAAATTTCACTAGTAGTGATAAATTTCTACAAGAGCTGGCCAGTACAAATCGTATTACATATAACATTTCGGCTTTTGGGTACGGGCCCTTATCAAGTATATTACTCGATATTACGTCTTTCACTTTGACATCTTGAAAGCACCACTAACCTTGATACCTAAAGGCCGAAACGTTGTGTGCGATACGATTTGTATTGACCAGTTAGATCAAACTTTAATAAACTATTTATAATTTTATTAGCGACTTTATTTGAATCTTTTGAGATGTTAATAATTTTTAAATATATTTACAATATAAACAAGAAATATATATTTAACGATTTTTAGAATTACATAAACGATAAATTAAACGGGACATTTAAAAGAATCAAATATGAAGAAATTAATGATAATGACGACCTTAGAAAATGTTTACAACAAGAAGTAGCAAGATGGGCATGTTTTCTCGGTGACATTACTTGTAAGGAAAAAGCCAACAATAAATTAAAACAACATATCGAAGATCCTAAAACACACAGGTAAATATTGGTATATATTTTAGCCTTTCTTAATTAAATTTTCTTATAGGTATCTTCCATAATGTTTAAATGATTTGATTTGATCACATGCTAATTTTTAATAAGAAAATTTAATTTTTTATATTATAGACTTTTGCCATGGTGGAAGGAATGGACATATTGTAATGGTTTGATGTTGACCAAAGAAGAGACCACATGGCAATCAGTGTATGATATAGGATTGAATAAATCTGACACTAAGTTTTTAGAATACTTGGCTTGCCCTGAAGATATTAATCTCATTAAAAAATATTTAAGATATAATCAAAACATTTCTACAAAACAGGAATATCCAAATTCTTTTAACAGTTTCTTACATATTTTGACGAAGCATGCGAAGAATCAAATTATACTGGAGTACATATTAGATCATTTTAACGAAATAAAACCAAAGTAATGTGGCATATTTTTATAAATATTGTGTACAAAAGTTTATTATATGTTTATATATACATTTGTTTTTTTCGTGTTCAGATATGTTAGTACACCTGCAGCATTAATTATTATTATTAATAACCTATATTCCGTAAATTTAACTCAGGTAAAAATTTTACATGTTTAAATATGTATACAA